AAGCTTTGCAGACCTGGTACCTTTGATAGATGTCGCGGTAGACAATGACTCGCCGGGGTTTGAATCTACGTTCCCGAGCAAGGCACGATACGACGAGAGCTGGGTACTGATGTTCCAACTCAGTGAAGATTTGATGCTCAAGGTCTTCCGTGGGCGGAAGGGTGTCCCCGTCAGCATTGGCGACCGCGTCATCCCAAACTTAGCGCCGAGTAAACGATCGAGGGACCCTCCGATGGCCTTCCAAGTTTGGGAGGGCTTGACGGTGTACCCGAAGATGGTCCAGACGAGGGTCTCTCTCGATGCTGTCGACAGCAACTACCGGGTGCCAGGGCCCGACGACGATGGCTGGCGCGAGCGTTTGGCAATTCGATTGAAGGAGGGATGGGTAGAGGGCTTCGGGCCGCGGGTGCCGCCCCGGCAGCCATGATAGACCGGACCATAGAGCAATCTACTTGTTGAATCGACGCGGCCGGTTGAGAACTTGAGTGGCTCTGTCCGTTGCGCATTTGCCATCCAGGATTTTATCGATTTTGTAAATTACTCACGCACACGGATCGGAAACACAGTATTGTACCGACTAACACGGGGAAGCGGCGAGCAGACACGGCGGGACGGGGCAAATGAAGGGCTCGTTGTGCGAGTATATGGGCCACGATGTCTCAAATATGAGGGGTTTTGACTCCTACCGGCTCCTGACGCTATCCCTGGCAGCTCTAATGACCAGGATCAGTAGTGTTGTGATAGAGGTTGCCCATACTAGCGCAGGAGCTGCCACACTCGCCCGGACCGTCCCCTTCTGGGGCCGGTTCCGCAGCCCGCGAGAGCCGACAGCGGGGCCGTGCCGCGGGTGCCTACTGCCGAGTGCCACAAACACTGCGCCGTCCCGCCATCACCTACAGGCTGTCTTGAGTGATGGCTGGGATGTCCAAACGCCACCATCTTGGCTCTTGCGACCTCAAACCCGCGAGCTGTATGGGTGGTCCTGACGTCGACAGACGCCCGATGACCACGGTGAAGCTGAGCCGTAACGAGTCGACAAGTCTCGTCTGAGCCCGTGGCGGTCGCCGGCTGAGTCGCCGTGCACGGGCCGGTACCTCAGGCGTCACCTCCGCAGCCTCAGGTCTCAAACTCCACCACCTCCGCCGGGACACCTTCGGTGGCACGCTCGGCGGCGACTTTGTGGCAGCCCCACAGCGAGCGCGGCATCGAGCCTACTCGGTCTGGTCGGTCGGCCGCACTCCCTGGGTGCCAGGGAGTGCGGCCGACACGCGAGCGGTGCTTCCTGGCGGCGCGCGCCGGCTGTGGGGCTGCCAAAAAGTCGAACACGCTTTTTTGGGACATTTTCGACGCTATCTCACGAATACTTGATTTTGCAGGGCTGTCGGATTTTTCCGCGCCTCGAAATTCCTAACAATCGCCTCGCCGCTCCACAATGCCTTTCTCCGTTGCCTCCAGCCGCGCGGCGCCATCGTCCTCGATCCAGTGCCGGCCTGTGACAAGCTTGGCAGCTCGCGGATCGACGATCGCCACGAGCTGCTGCCCGGCGACCGCCGCTCGCCTTCGACGACAGTCCTAACAATCGGCGGTGAGCGGCACCTCCTTGGCCCAGCACCGGTGTTGTCACGTCTCAGCTGCTTCATTGCCATGTCCAGTTATGGCGGAGACGCGCTGATAGCATTCCTGTGCACGCAGTTGGACCAGCACGGCCATCGGGTGCGTGGCGCAAAAAGACCTGTTTGCGCTGTCTTCGATATCAGCGGCTACATGCGCTGCTGCGCGTACCTGTGACGCACACATGTTGATCACATCCATATACCTCACTAACACACAGCTGGCGAGACCTGCATCCCTCGTCTGGCCATGCTGTGCATCATCTCACCGTATGCAGCCGTATACGCCCACGGTGCTCACAGGGTCGGGCGTCACGGTGCTCGTGGCAAGCATCTCCGTCACTCTTGTGACTTGTGGGCTTGGTGGTGTTGCCTCCGGTGCTACTGCTGGCTAGGGTGCCAATGGCGCGACGGGAGGCGGCCATTGGCGCCACTACAGCAACGATTGTTAGGCCGTGGAAAAATCCGGAATTCGTGCCCCGAACCGGCCGACACGTGGCCGCATATATGTATATATACCACGTCCGTATGGGCTGCACAAGCCAAACCACGCTCATCACAGCTTGTCACAGTGTGGCCCCTGGCAGTGGTAAGCCATTCTTGGTGTACCAGCTCACAGGAGGGCCGCTTGAACACGATTGTTAGACGGCGTGAAAAATCAAGTATTCATGAGATATTGTCCCATATACTCGCACAACAAGCCGAAGATATGTCGCGCGACTCCCAGTCTCCGGTACATACTACACACCTTTTTGTTCGGAAGGAGCCACCAGCTGCGCGCACGCGGTGCCCGAGCTGCTCGATTGTCCTCACGGCCCAGCGTGGCAAGCATCTCTCATCGACCACCCAAAGGCTCGTCTGCCGCATCCAGAGCAGCGCACCACAGCACCTGATAGCTGTGTGGAGTCCGCCGCTCTCCTCTCCCTCAGCCCTGCCCGAGGCATGCAAATCGCATGGGCGTCGCCCTCGGCGGACCCGCTTGCTCGGCAGCCAGGCGCTCGGGGCCCTCGTGCTGGCCGCGCTCGGCTGTGGCGGCGCGGCGGCGGCGGCGGGCACACTGCGCTGGCTCGGCGAGCCGCGCGTGCTCGCGCGAGCAAGGGGGAGATTCCCCAAGATCAGCCGAGATCGCACCCGAGAGTAGGCGTGCTGCGCGTCTCGCGCGAGCAGGAGGAGAGCGGCCTCGACTCCGAGTTCGGCCTTAAGGCGTACCGCCGGAACAACGACGTGCTGCAGCGCTGCCGCACCGTCTCGGCGCTACTGAGCGAGAACGGCGTCTCCGCCCCCGTGAGGGTGGTATTGGTATCGGAATGAGGAGTGTCTGATTGTGGCAGTCTAGCGTGCGTGCAGCGGGGTGGCTCGGAGCGTTAGCGCTCTGAGAGCCACGGCCTGTGGCCGGCTCGATCCCGGCACGGGGCCCGCAGCGCTGTCAGCCTACGTCTCTGCCGAGCGTCGCGCGAGAGTGTAAGTTGCGATTCTTTTGCGTTTTGATGTTGCGTAGTGCAAAAAGTGAAGAAATAAGCACGCTGCATCACGGTCAGGTTGAGGCGCTTCAAGCGACGGCGACGAGGGGAGGCCCCTCCTGTCTGTAAAGTACATGAGTCATGACCATCGAGATCGACCCGGCGCGCTGGATGTGCAGCGCTGAATGCGTCGGGCGCGACGATGGACATGGACGGAGGCGGTGGCGCCGATGCCATTTAAACTAGCATGAAGATGTATTCACTGCATGGACTTTGGGGGTGGGTGCCCCAAGCCCCAAGCCCTAAGTCCTACTCCTCTACCTACAGCTCACCTTTCAGGCCAATGGCAATGCTCAGGCCACTCGTACGGTCTATCTCGTTTGCCGGGGCTAAGGTAAGGTAAGGTAAATTTCTCCGCACACACACAGTGGTGGGGCAAGGGGGGGCGACCCTCGCATCTCCACGCCCGGACACGGGCAGGAGCCCCACGGCATTCAAAGTGCAAGCACTGGCCCGGTGCACGTGGGTGAGCAGCCTGCCCCTCCCTCCCGACAAACCAGCTCCCGCACACACACAATCGCACTCTGGCCATCGAATGACTCCGAATGACTCACTGTGTGTGCTAAAACAGAATCTCCGCAGACAGCCAAAACGGGCCGTGCCGCGTTTGTGGTGTCTTCTCAAGCACTAGCATCCGGGCGCCGCATTCGAGTGGGCGGGTCACATCTGTGTGGGCCCAGTGCGCACTAGGCGCATATGCTAGTGCTATCCTGCCCTATGCAATGGGAGGCAGAGGGATGGGGGGAGGGGGGAGGGGGGGGGGGCAGAGGTAAGGTGTGGTGAGACTGGGGAGGGCCTCAGAGGGGGTGCGGTCCGGCTCTCCCAACCTCGAACAGGTCGAAGTTGCCGGTCCCGCCATCGCCGCCGACGCCGTGCGTCGCCCTTGTCCGCCTCGGAGGCGGAGGTCGTCGGGCGGGGCGCCTCGCCCGTCGCGAACCTGCCGCCGAACACAGCGTCGGCCGGCGCCGAGGCGCCGGCAGCCGAGATCAGGTCGGCGACCTTTCGGTCTCTTCAGGCCGCATCAATTCTGCCGCACCGGGACGCCTCGTAGAGCTCGTTGGCGAGCCAGTCCCGGGCGACCTTGGTCGCCACGGAGCCCAGAGGGACCGTGGCGTACACCAGGTTGCCGAACCCGCTGCGCCCCCCTCGGGAGGCAGCGAGTAGGCGACCTGAATGTTGGACCCGGTGGGGTTGCGCGCCGCCTGCCCAGGCCCCAAATGATGTGTGAGTGTTAGAGTTGTGTTTGGTATTGATTCTTCGAAGCTTGTACAAGGTATTGATTCTTCGAAGCTTGTACACCGTGTCCTGATGTGATCTGCACGGGTGAGTCACGTCGGCGTCAAAGGAGCGACGTGCGACCTGTCAGAGCTTGATCTCCGATCTCAGCGGCGTCGAGTCGTCTCCGGTGCGCAACAAATGTACCTCCCCAGGACGCGCATAGGCAGCTGCGACCC